ATGGTCCTGCAAGAGAATCACTTTGGTGAAAGACTGAGCCAGAGATTGTGACCTACTTAGCTGTGCTCGAAACCTAATAGAGGATAAAGGCAAAGTAAACATTTCTGCATGTAATATACTCACACTTCTCTGATCAATGAAGTACATTTTATTAAAAAAAAATACACCATGCTGTACACATGTTCAATTAATAAACACCCTCTAGCCCCATGGTAGCTAGGATAGGCTCTTGGAATCCTGAATTGGATAAGTGGAAGAGAATGGATGGATGAATGGATGGGTAGATGTCATGATGTAAGATAGTGAGATGGGTGGGTGGAGAAACTTAACAATCACATAAAAATATTTTCTTAAATTCACGGAGTACTTTTTGTTGCTTTAAAAAAAGTTTCATTAAATTATGTACTGACAAAAATTATGCATTGTAACAACTGATGTGCTTTACTTTTACACAATGTTTGCAGATTAAGGTTACGGGACGTGAAATATTAAAGAAATCGCATGTTTCCACAATTAAACAAATTAACTGTTGTGCACATTGTAGATGTGGGGGACTCTTGTGATGTGGAAGGCACGTTCTCCATAACATTAGCTGGATAACCAGGGGCTATCTGACCGGAGAGGTTCACTGCATTTGGTCTTCCACGATGAAAAGGTGAATAAATTTCTTCATCAGTTAGGGCTGTTCGATATAACAATATATATCGGATGATGATATAAAAACGTCTATCGTTTCATTTTACGCTATCGTTTGTTTCGTGGTGTCACAAAATAAACTGTTTACGGCAATATTTTGTCATGGTTTTGTTGGTCAGTGTAGTGGCTATATTAATTTCTTAAAGTTCTCTCTTTCTCTTATATTTAACATAACCACACTACTGACGGACAAGCGCCTGTTTTTATGCATTGAGGTTAGCAACAACGACGGTAACACCATTGCGTGTCCGCTTATGTTCCACATAAACCTTTCACAATAAAGCTCAACATCCTGTTGAGACTTTTCAAAATAAACTGAATCACGTGAAAGAGCAGATTATTTACGGATGAGAAGCAAAACAAGAGCCGCCAGGTGCTAAAAAATACAGGCTTTTCCCCGCAGCACGACGTGTAATAAATACTCAAAGAAAACGGCGGCCGTTACAACTTATGTCTAAAAATTCACGCATTAGTTAAAACACGACTCCAGCTACATGAGACGCAGCTGGAAACACTTCCCGCAAGTCGAGCTGCCCGAGATACACAGAATTTACAGAAAATGTTACATTTTTGTGATTTATATCGTTATCGGGACGATAGAATTCTTATATCTGGATATGAGCTTTTGGTCATATCGCACAGCCCTAAATAATTATCTGAATCTCACAACCAAAGTTTTTATCTGACGTAAAATGCATAGAAATCATACATATACCAACAAGACTGTACATCACTGTCACAGCAGCGTCTGTTTTCATTCAAAGGCTTTAATACCTGGTGGGCCGGTCTCTAGTCAAAATGCCCGGGCTGATTTTTTTTTGTCCCAGTCCAGCCCTGGGCACGACACGCATTGAATTAATCTTAGATCACATTAACATGTATATCTCTGTATTAACAAACATGCCATATTGGCCCAGTTTCTCGTTCTTATCATTGTTGTGAGGAGACCATAAATAGCATTTGCATTTTCTGTTGTACAGTTCATTTGCTGCTATGGATATAAAGTGTCTTTTTTTCGCTGATAGCTGCCAACACCTGCGAACAAATATTTCTATATAGTGTGCAATGGTTAATATAGAGCGTTATGAAATTTATTGTTAATGCAATCATATGGCACACTGACTTCTGAGGAAATTTTAGATGCACTCATCATCAGAAAGGTTGCCGACCCCCGTTTTACCCTTTCCAAAGGACCAGATCTCAAATCTGGTAAATCTGTTTTTGCTACTCTGTCACATCACCAAGTTGATCATAACCCAGACATGTCAGCTCTAGATTTCATGCTTCTGTTTTTAGATCAGGTGGAGAGGTGAAGACCAGATCAGAGCAGCGTCCACTGTGGGTCAGGAAGTGGAATGAACAAACAGCTTTTTGTCTCAACTTCACAACGAAATTCATTTCCATCAGGTTAGTTCACTGTGACGCTGGTATTTCCCAGTGGAATTATTAAGTAAACTTAAAGTAAAGTTGCGTGAATGTCGACAGTTGTGAGAATTTGGAAAAGCAAACAATAGAAGACATCTTGGTGGAGTTAGGCCTGTGGACATCTTCACAGATATGTTTTTGCTGTGGCATTCAAACTTTGTTATTATTTACTTTAGTAATGTTTAAGTAAAATGTGCTGTCAGTGAAAATTAACAGAAGGTAAAAGTTTCTACTGTTCTTTTAATTTAAGCCATGCTTGGTATTCTGTCTAAAAAGATCTTTGACAAGGTAATGGCTGTAAAAGGCTCGAGGAAGAGGAGGTGATACTCCTGAAAGAGAGGAGGCAACACTGACCATCTCTCAGGTGAAAATAAATGAGTTTGCAGAAAGTGACTGTGGCGCAGAGATGGTGACTAACACCTGGGACTTAGACTCGAGTCACACTTAAGTCACAAAAACTTCAGACTTGACTTGGACTTGAGCTTTGAGAACCATGAGTACCATATTTGTCTATAAGTTGTCCGTACATTCTGGTTGTGGTAGTTCAGCATCTAGCTGGCATTACAGAAGAGGAGCGAGTATAAAGGTAGTAACGTTTTTTGGGTTTTTTTGTGTCAGGTAATTTAAAATGCAGTGTTTCTATCAGCTCAACAAACATCAGCAAAAACACAAACTGTGTGCACTTTGTCTCACAGTGTGTTGCAGCTAAAGGTCCAGCTGCTTATTTCACAGGGAGAAAAAAAGAAAAAGAGCTAAGTTCACTCAGAGATGGAGAAAGATAAGAAAGAAGGACGGGAGAGGAAGAAGAGAGCTTAGATTTAAAGGGAAGGATGCTCAGTTAAAGCTTACATGCAAGTCATCATGTTTTTAAATGTGTACAAGTGACATTATGTTTTTCTGCTGCTAATCAAACTGAGGCAGACTAACTGTGTTATTTAAAGGCTGTATGAAAATCCTCTGCAGGATAAACAGGTTAGTTTGCTGCACTGTGATGGCTTAAAGTAAAGAACAGTGCGTGACTGCTGCACAGTGGCTCTCGTTTCAAATCAAATCAAAAATCAAATCACTTTTTATTGTCACATCACATGTGCAGGCACACTGGCACAGCACATGCGAGTGAAATTCTTGTGTGCGAGCCCCACAAGCAACAGAGATGTGCAAACACAACAACACAAACGAGCAAATACAAGAATGGCCAACCTGAAACTAATAAATATATGTACAATATATAATAGTGTATGCATTTCTGGATGTGTATACTAAATATTTTCCTACGTGTGTGTGTGTGTGTGTGTGTGTGTGTGTATACACATTTTTACAAATTAAATAGTAAAAAATAAAATAAAATAATAATAATAATAATAATAATAAAATATATAAATATACAGAGTTGAATATGTGCAAAACAAGTGGCATTTATATACAGTGTGGAGTGCATAATGTTGACACAGTTAGCTTACATCAAGTATAGCGGAGACTCATGAATTTTATCTGATGATGGTTGTATAGTGTCTAATATAAAGAGAGCATAAACAGCGTACTGTCAGTGTAGAGGATGAAATCAGCCAGGACAACTCATGAAACATCTGCTCACATCTGGATGAATCCAGGTGTGTACATCCACAGAGAGCAGCAGGTCAGCTGATCACAACCTGTACACTAAGAAAATCTACTGGAGCTTTTAATTATTGTGAGCTTGATTCTTTTCCCCACACTGAGACATTATAACCACTTTTAGTGTTCCCCCACCTGAATCCACTTTAACCCCTGACTGCACACATTTCCTGTTTAGAGGCAAAGTCCCCTCTACAATGGAGGCAACAGGAAATAGAAACATATTTTTACTTTCCTTCTTTTTCTCTGCTCATGTTCAACTGAACTGATTCAAGATGAGTAGAATTATTAGACTGAAAATTTAGACTGAAATAAAGTTTGTATTCCTTTCAAATAATATTATTTTACCATTACATTAATATAGCACATGGTTCAGGCAGCTTTAGTCACAAATAGCTGGAGCCACAGCTGCTTTGCAAAAGTGACTCTGTTATGAAAGATGCCTTAACTATTTGGAGAAGTGCAGGAAGAGTGGTGAGAATTATTTTTCTGCTGTGAGAAATGAGCCAAAGTGATTAAGAAAAAGTGAAATCATCTCATTTTTAAAGTGAACACAAAGGACCAGCAGATTCTTTTATAGTCGTCTTAAAAAGACTAAAACTAATAATTAAATATCAAAAATATCAAATACCAGAATAAACTCAGCAATATTCAGAGTAAAATTGCAGAGACAGATTACACGTCAGACTGGAACAGGACACAGTCTGAGGTCCAAATGTTTCAGATCTCAGTGAAAATCTGTCATATTTTCATGTAAACCAAAGAATTACAATTTAAAGACATTTAAAAAACAAAGTTGTGACAGACTGCAGATTCATGAATTTTCACTAATTTGCTCAAAGACTGTTCAGAGCTAACAGTGTGTCCATCTGACCAGAGTTGAATAACTCTCCTTGTTTCAATGTATTTCATTTAAAACACTTTTTAAATAAAGACATAAATGGTAAAAATGTTTATCAAGAACAATTTATTAATGAAAAGCAGGTATAATGTTGATAAACATTAGGAATCATATCTGTATTATTTGTGTGGTAGTTCCTCACAGTGACCACCGGAGGGCAGTGAACTCTTATTACAATCTATAGTCAACAGGACAAAAACACCACAGAGCAGTTTCTGTTGCATTAAAAGTATTTATTATGCTGTAAGCGACGATATGATATTAAAAGAGTTTCATCACAAAGTAAATCAAACAGAGGAAATTCAGACGATGATGTTTCAGGAGCAACTATCACATCACCTGATCTGTAAACAGTGATGACATCACCAAATCAGACAAAGGATTAGCAAAAAGCTCTTCTTTTTGTTCACAGTGAGTTAATAGTGAATAATAACATCACATTTGTTCCTGTATCGATGTGATGAGAAGAAATGAGACCTGCTGAGGCCTCTGATACATTTATCAGCTATAGTAGGATAATGGCTCAAATATGCAGCTGCAACATGATTTGGTTTCAGTATATTAATATTTAATGATTTAAACTAATTTCATTTGTACTCTTAAGCTTCATTCATCTTTTATTTTTAAATTCACACTGATGTGTTCAAACCAAGAGCCTTGACAAACACCTTCTCAGCATCATCAGCGAGCTCGTTGAGGATCGATTTCAGAATTGTGTAGGTTGTGGCGAAAGAGAAACCCATTGCTAATGGGATTCCAACAATGGGAATCCACCTTGTTGTTTCCTCTGCTGCAATTAATGTAGCTGCTCCTGCAGCTTGGGTCATCACCTTAAAAAGGAGCCCTATAGTTATTTCTGCTGCAGTCAGTGGTGAAATGATGACAGCACGCGGATAAGAGTAGGGCACACCTGTTCTGTAAAAAGGTCTCTTCAAAGACAGGATATTGAGACCAAACGCATGAACAAAATCTGTGACAGCACCAACCAGCAAAGCAGGATCAACAGCAATAGAAAGAGGAGGAACTGGAACCCCTGCTACAGCTGCAGACAGAATAGAGTAGTATTTTATTTTGGACTGAAAAGCTTTTTTCTTCTTGTTGATGATCTCCAGGCTGATGTTGGGCATGGCGCGCAGCAGAGCATGTCTTTTATGTTTAGGAAGGTCTCTCTCTAAGGTCTCGTGTAAGAGAGAGAAGTCGTACAGGTGGAGCTCAAAGCTGGACACCAGGAACACCTGTGGAGACTCGATGCCTAATCCTCTGAGTCCTGGCACAGAAAAAACACATGTTAAGATGATGTATAAAAAATGCAGAAGACCTTTATAAGAAATCATTTAAAACTTGGATCTGAATATGTTTAAAAGTGAACTCAGATCTCACTGAGCTCTAAGGGATCAGGCACTCACCGTGAACACAGTCTTCTCTGATTTTTGTAAGAGTCTCCTCTTCAATGAAGTCTCTCTTTCTTCTTTCGGCGCGTAAATTGTCATCAATCTTTGAGCGAACAAAGTAGAACTTTTTCTTCATCCTCTGAATCTCCTGAGCGAGTTTCACGTCATTTGCTCTGAAGAGAGTGTCTGAGATGATGATGAAAAAGTCAAACTTCTCAAATCCAACAAGCTCCAGGTACTTATCAGCTGTAAACTTGGTGCTGCCAACTCCAGGAAGATCCCAGAATTTAACATTGGGATACTCTGGATGGGTGTACTCTGTGACCTCTGAGGTGGTTTCTGTAACACCAGTGGGAGCAGCTCCCTCATCATCATCACTCACACCTCTGAAGGCATTAACAAAGGTGGATTTGCCAGAACCAGTTTTCCCAGTGATGGCGATATTTAGTGGAATATTATCTTCTTTTTCTAAATATTGTTGAATCCTTGCAGCTGCTGCAGCGATGTCATTGTTTTCCAGTGCTTCTCTAACTCCAGGAATTTCTTCAGGATGTGAATCGTTTGGATCCTCCATGCTGATCCTGAAACAGAAAAGGAAAACCTGAGAAAACATGCGAGGCTGCATTTGGGTCCAATCCTGCCTGCAGCACACAGCAACACTTAACAAGCTGGACCAGGAAGAAGTCAGCTGTAGAGCTGCAGAGAGGAATCTTAGGAAAAAGCTGCCAATAAACATAACGAACACTGCAGCATTGTGTTTGTGTGGGTCCTTAGTGTCACAGTGGTGCTGAAACCAAGGTGCAGGATAACAGACCCGTGACCACTGCAGCCACTGAAAGTACTGGCAATGATGCTGGCAGAAATAGCCGCCATGCACTGGGAGCAGGTGGTGGTGCATCAAGATCAGCTCCAATAGCTACGGCACCGGGCCAAGCACCAGATCTTTTATACAGGTAATAGGTTGAGTTGAGAATAGAATAGAATAGAATTCAACTTTATTTGTCATTGCACATGTCACAAATACAAGGCAGCGAAACTGTCAGGATCCTGGGTCTCCTGACCCAGTGAGTTTCTTGTGTTTCAGTGTTTTTGTATTATCATGTTCTAAGTTCTCTTTCTTGCTCCAGTTTATTTTATAGAGTCTTAGTTTTCGGTTATTTGTATTCTGTTTAGTTTTCTGAGTATTTAGTAGCTGCCATCTGTGCCTCCTTTATGTTGATCTCTGTGTTTGTTTGTTGCTCTATCTCCCCTGTAGCTGTATCTCCAAGTCAAGTCCGCGTTTCTGTTACATTTCCTGTTTTACTTAGAAAGTCTCGTGTCCCATGTAAATGCATTGAGTTTTGCTTCCCTTATCTTGTCTTGTCAATTACTCCCAGCTGTGTTATCCTTCTGTGTATTTAAGCCTTGTGTTTGTCTCTGTTAGTTGCTGGTTCGTCTGTGTAATCTCCTTCCGTCACTCTGTGTTTTCTCCCCGTGTCTCCGTTTTAGGGTTGTTTTGTTAGTTTTTGCTTGGTTTTCATCCTCGTTTTTTTGTCATTTGTTTGTTTTCTCTCGCCTTATATAATAAAGCTCACTCACACCTAAAGTTGCATCTTGGGTCCTATTCTCCAGCTCCACACGTCTGCCACGCCAAACGTAACAGAAATGCAGTTTGCATCCATCCAGACAGTGCTTTAGCAATAATATGGATATATTACAAAAATATCAGCTTGTTACCTGTAAAAAATATAACTAGGAGCCAGAAATCTTGCTGATTGATAGGGGATCAAACACTTATTTCATTCATGAAAATTCAAATTAATTTATAACTTTGTTTTAAATGCAATTTTCTGGATTCTTTGGTTATTGTTCTGTTTCTCACTCTTCAAATAAACCTACCATTGAAATTATACTGATCATTTCTTCGTTAGTGAGCAAACTTACAAAATCAACTGGTTTTCAAATAAGTGTTTCCTTGACTCTATAAATAATGTAAGTTATTCTCTGGTGATCTAAATATAATATGGCCGGATGCACTGAAACTGGCTCAATAATCAGCAGACTGTGTGATGATGATGTAACACCCAAAGCTAAATGAAGTTTCCCTCAAGGATTCAGATAAAGATTTTATTATGTCCATATAAGATCACATCAGACAGACGGGGTAGGAACTTGTATAATTATTAAAAAGTACCAAATCCATAAAAAAAACTAGATTTTCTGTGACTTATCTCGAAAAATAAAAATGGTGACAATAGAAAGAAAGTGACTTTAGCTTAATTCATGAGATAAATTAAAATAACTTACACTAGATTCCTGCTGACGCTGAAAGTGAAGAGAGCAGCACACTGCAGTCAGTAACAATGGGAGCAGTTGCAGTTTCGCTTTGAGCTTTTGTAGTTAGTCACAAGAAAAAGCTCCACCCAAGATAAGAACGAATGAACCAATCAGCGAGTCTTCATGGGAGCCTCAGTAATATATGTTAAAACAGCTGATTTACAAGAAAGTCATGTTTCCACAGCAGGACTCAGTGAACTATAGAGTGGAGTGGAAAAATCACAAAAATTAAATTTTTATGTGCCTGTCACACTTTAATGTTTCAGATCATCAAACAAATTTAAGTATTTGGCAAAGAGAACACAAGCAAACACAAAATTCTATTTCTAAATGAAGGTGTTTGTTATGAAGGGGAAAAATCCAAACCTACATGGCCCTGTGTGAAAAAGTGTTTGCCCCCTCTTAAAATACCTGAAGTGCCTCAATGCCAAGGCAAGGCAAGTTTATTGGTATAGCACAATTCAACAACAAGGTGATTCAAAGTGCTTTTGTTAAGGTTCAAAATTGAGGAGGGAGAGTACAAACCACTCTTGGTCCAGAAGCTCTTTGGTCAAACAATGATTTTAATGAACACACGTGTGGGAAGACACTCTGTACGCAGACAGCCAGTAGTCCTCGACTTAATCAAAGCATGAACAGATATTTTATAGCATCAGGGTTTGTTTACTGACGCCCCTTCATGCGTCACAGATACATTTTATACATAGATCAGATCAACACCACCAATGGCTTTTCACCCAGAAGATCATCTTCTATTTTCATGGCTGGTACTTTCCGTTCTTGTCTTGTTCCTCTTTTACCGAGACACTTTTGCAGTTACAGCCAGACATGTGTAACCTCTTCTCTAAATAAATTTAACTCATATGTGTCTGTGTCTCGTCCTCACATGCTCTTTCTCAATTCACCTGTTGCACTTCTGACCTTTTACCAGACCAGAAGCTCACTGAAACTATGTGTATGTCTTCTACTAAATAAATGTTTTAATCAAGAACCTCTACTTAAGCCTTAATATAAAATGACCTGATATAAGTGTTTTGTAAGCATGTATTGCGATTCCTTCTATGGCTCCAAGTCACTTGCACAATAGATTGTCCGAACATCGCGCCGAACAAAGCTTCCGACCCCAATTAATTGACCGAGCTCCAACTCTTTAATAAGCACAGATATGCATTGTGTATGAAATAGTCATAGCCTTCTTAAAGCTATCTGTTACATTGTTAAAGCCTCGTCTTAGCCTGCGGCTCAAAATAACTTCCACTTCTGCATACAACTTCCTGTCAGCCTGCAACTCAGTCTTTCTGAAAGAGACACTGTTTAAACCTCTGAATGCAATATCCATGCTGCAGATTATATTCTTAATGCAATGGTACTGATGACAATTATTTAACAATAGCAGTAAAATAATTTCCCTGCTCCACACTTTACAGAGACATTATAAACAAAAACAAGTAAAAAGCATGATTTAAAATTGATTAAAACAATCAAACAAACTAACTAATTAACAAACAAACAAAACAGTATATAAAATCAAAACAGATAAAATCAGAAATAGATAAAATCAGTAGTTAAAATGTTAGTTTTGAAATTTAAGCTTAAAAGTGTGGATTTGGTGCTTTATTCAAATGCAGCTGAGAACAGGTGAGTCTTCAACCTGGATTTAAATAAACTGAATGCTTCAGCTGATCTGAGGCTTTCTGGGAGTTTGTTCCAGATATAAGGAGCATAAAAGCTGAATGCAGCTTCTCTGTGTCTGGTTCTGACTCTGGGAACTGATAAAAGACCGGATCCAGATGACCTGAGGGATCTGGATGGTTCATACTGGGTCAGGAGGTCATTGATGTATTTTGGTCCTAAACCATTCAGAGCTTTATAGACCAGCATCAGAACTTTAAAGTCTATCCTCTGACGGACAGGCAGCCAGTGTAAGGACCTCAGAGCTGGACTGATGTGGTCCACTTTTTTGGTCTTAGTGAGGACTCGAGCAGCAGAGTTCTGAATGAGCTGTAGTTGTCTGATTTTTTTAGGTAGACCTGTAAAGATGCCGTTACAGTAATCAAGCCTACTAAAGATGAATGCATGGACTAGTTTTTCCAGGTCCTGTTGAGACATCAGATCTTTTATCCTTGAAATATTCTTGAGGTGATAGTAAGCTGACTTTGTTATTGTCTTAATGTGTTTTTCTAAGTTTAGGTCTGCATCCATCACTACACCCAAATTTCTCGCCTGGTTTGTGGCTTTTAGGTGTATAGATTGAAGTTCTCTGGTGACCTGTAATCGTTTTTCTTTGGCGCCAAAGACTATTACTTCAGTTTTGTTTTTGTTTAGTTGGAGAAAATTGTGGCACAACCAGTCATTAATTTCCTTAATTTCCTCGATGCATTTACCAAGAGCCTGTACAGGGCCTCGGTCTCCTGGTGACATTGTGATATATATTTGTGTGTCATCTGCATAGCTGTGGTAGTTTATTTTGTTGTTCTTTATAATCTGTGCCAGTGGGAGCATGTAGATGTTAAACAGAGGGGTCCCAAGATGGAACCTTGGGGAACTTCACATGTGATACTTGTCTGCTCAGATGTGAAGTTACCTATTGATACAAAGTATTTCCTGTTTTCTAAGTATGTTTTGAACCAGTTTAGTACAGTTCCTGAAAGACCTGCCCAGTTCTCCAGTCGTTTGAGTAATATGTTGTGGTCAACTGTATCAAATGCTACACTGAGATCCAGTAAAACTAAGACTGACATTTTTCCACTGTCTGTGTTCAGACATATGTCATTAAACACTTTGGTCAGAGCAGTTTCAGTGCTGTGGTTCTGTCTAAAACCTGACTGGAAGGCATCATAGCAATTATTCTGTTTTAAGAAGTAATTGAGCTGTTGAGAAACTGCTTTTTCAATGATCTTACTTAAAAATGGGAGATTTGAGATCGGCCTGTAGTTGTTCATTTGTGTCTTTTCAAGATTGTCCTTTTTCAGTATAGGTTTGATTACAGCAGTTTTTAGTGATTCTGGAAACACACCTGATAATAAAGAAAAGTTGACGATCTGTAACAGGTCTGACTCTAAAGTCTTTGAGACCTTTTTGAAAAAACGTGTTGGCAGGACATCTAAACAGCAGGAGGAGGACTTCAGTTGACCTAAGATGTGCTCCAGGTCTTTGCTGTTAATAGGGTCAAACTGTTTGATGGTGTTTAAGCAGTTTTTCGGTGGACACAGTACATATTCTGGATCTGCTGTTGATGTACCAATTGCTTCTCTAATT